TTGTTTACTCAAATACATGGCTGTTGGTTAGTAAAGATCGGATTTTGAAACCTCAACTCGTTTTTGTGTAGTCATCATACATCCCTATATTGTATGTATAACATTTTTATGATTATAGGTAATATATACTTTTATTATTAAGATGATTTAGAAATTGCTGATTATTTGAAACACTTTTAACGCTTATAAACAATATACCAAAAGAATATATAACGAAAAAACTTGAAAACAACACAACTTTTATGGAAATAACAAGGTACGTTTATCATTACAATTAAAATATCCTAAACAATAAATAGCTATAATATTGAAAATGATGAAAAGGTAATAACATACCAATAAAGATAAATGCGAAAAGGAAATTGATGCAGAATTGAATCAGAAGATATAAACTATACCAGTACTATAGTTGTGACATTAAGGAGTTTTCAGTATAACTTTCTCCATAGACTAATTGCGACAAACACGTACTATGATATTTTAAATACAATCTATCCAATAAGAATTGTGTGATTTTTGCTGCGGTCATTTAGAAAGAAATCATCATATGGTTTGTGAATGTAAAATTGTACAAAACTAATCGTCTTACTTGCATTCTTTTCTCTGGTCAATTAATCTCCATACATGAAAGAAATAATTTCAGAGAGCATACAAACAATATATTAATGTAGTAATTTATATCATTATATGCATGAAATATTACATTAAAAAAAATATAATACTAGTTAAAAACAATTCTTTTTATTCTCAAACTTTTTGCTATCAGAATACAGGCTAAATTGCATTTGAAAATGACAAAGTTGAATCATACAAACAAAAACTGGCGTAATCTATCTAACACTCTTACACATAAAACTTTTTGTAAAAAAAATAAAGAAAATATGAACATTAAACCATAACATTTATAAAATTGAATAAAACTGGTTCATTTGTCTCTAATATTTTGTCTGCTTGGTTGAGGTATTGAGTGCATTAGTGCTTTTTGTTAGTTTGTATGAAGTATTTCTCTTTGTTTATTATCCGTCGGGTCTACCTATTTCACGTGATTGTAACGTGATATTGTTCACAGAGAACTTGGTTTAGAACAGTCCGTTAAAATGTCAAATTTTACAACATTTCTAAAGGATTTTGGATTTAAAGTAATTCAGTATATGTGTTCTTATATCCGATAAGAAAATAAGTGAAAAAGTGAACTATTTTCTGAAAAATCAAAAAAAATAAATGCGAAGCCACGTCACCTTTGTTAGAGGGCAATGAACCGGATTGCATGGACTACTCGTATGGTGATTTACACATGTCTAGTGATAACAAAACGCAACTGACAAATAAATATAGGAATAAATAAGTTAACACACTAGTGATAATACACAAACTGTAAGTAGTCACTTTATAGTTTGGCATATGGTTTCTTCGGCGCTCTATTCGAAATGATTCAGCCTTTATATGCTACGAGCCTGCCGCCATCCATGGGGTTCGGTTTCCCAACGCCCGGCGCTGGATGCCCTTCTAATCCACCACAATAGGCGACTGAACTCATAAATGACGTAAAAATGATAAAGGAAAAGCTTCATTTTATCTGTAAAATTTGAGAAGTCATTTCATCGATTTATATAAAAATGACAGACAAAGAATCAAAAATGAAATCATTCGGCACTAGGATAAAAAAATGTTGTGAATACTTGTCTTAGGACAATGATCTGATACATCGTGAATTAAAAGACACACGAAGTGAACTGAAAATTTTTAAAAAACGATTTTAAATATATAGTTTCACAATACACTCAGATATGTCGGGTACAGGAGAAACTTGAACAACAGGTTATAAGTCTAGAAATGCAGTCACTGAAGAATAGCCTTTTGTTTTATGGATTTCCCGCGGAAACAGACGAGAATTGCGGAAAACTTATAAATAAAGGAGCTATGCAGAGACACATTGAAATTGTCTGAGGCTGAAACATTTGGGTTTGAGAAACTCCCCTATCGTCTTGGAAAACGTTCGCCTGAAAAACACGTCCTATTTTAGCACGTTTTATACACAATCATCAGCGAGAACGTGTAAGGTCCGCGTCTTTCGATCAAGCAGACGATTTGAGAGATGTAGCACGTGGTGTCGGGGTACAACTACCTAGGGTAGTGCGCGATGCTAGAAGACCGCTGTATCCGAAAATGGAAGATGCGAAATCTGTAAAATTCATCGGAACAAAATTATTGACTTATAATGTAGAATACAAACCGAGTAATGTTTACTAGAGTAAAAAATTAAAGAACAGTAGTAGAGGAAGATACAGAAGCAGTATTTCTTTATATGTAACTTATATGTATTTATATGTCACTTGTATATACCTCCCGTAATTTCTAAGGTAATCTAACCACGGGGGAGGAAGTGTTACACGAAAGATGGAGTTCTTATGATAACTTGTTTGGAGTTCTTATGATAATTGTCACGGAGTTCCTGGAAAACGTTACGGATTTCTGTGGAAAACTTTTCTATATACTTGGAGAACTCGCGTAAAAAATGGTTATTTTTAACTTTAAATGGGGAGTTTGAGGTGCTAAATGAAACTTTGATAATTAAGCTTGCCCTACATATTGTATTTTGTTTCAGAAAAAATCGTTAAGTCCATATTTTGTCGCCTTTTTAAAAAAAATCTGGTAGTTTTGAGAAAAATTACCAAATTACTTGCTAATTCGTACATATTGACCTTTTCATTTGTGATCTTCTTCGTTGCTATACTTAATTACCTAATAATTATGGAGAGATGCAAACATAAAGCCCGGGCTAATAAATTTATACCCGACTTTTCAAATGTTACGGAGTTCTTGCGATAACTCAAATATGTCCTGGAGTTCTTATGATAACTTTTGTTTCTGCCAGTGTGTTTTGTGCTTAATCACGACACGTTTAAGCGTATTTTTATTAGTCAATAAGTGTGTAAATCATTAGAAAGCATAGTACGCTTATCATTTGCAAAAATAATTTGGTAAAATAACGTTGGTTTTGATCGTGTTTTTCAGTTCAAGAGATATTTTTCTTACCTCCGTTTCTTGTGGGTTTTTTTTGTGTTTGTTTTGGTCTTTGTGTGTGTGTGTGTGTGTGTTTTTATTTTATTGGAATGACTGTAAACATACTTGATGTAGAGCATTTACTTACAGGATAATAATACGCTTTTGAATTTAATACTCAAGCATGATTTCGTCATATATGCATTATTCCTGGCAGTTTTAGAGAACATTAAGTAACTATGCTATCGGTATGCATGTAAATGGTTATCAGCAAAATAGTAGGTAGTATACACTACCATTATCTAAATTTAATGAGGTGGGTGTCGTCTTATGTATATTCAACGGGTATTTCAATTTCTAAAAAGGTATCAGTTTTTGTCATAGAAACGTATAAAGTTCTATGACAATGATATGACGATAGAAAATAAGTCTTTAATAAGATATGTGAGTCACCGTAAGGTTCATGCCGTTTATCGACCTTGTTCCTTTCTCTATTAAATCCAATGTAGCATCACATGACGTATAGCAATTTCCATATTTCGGAAAAATTACTGCATACATTTTTCTTATCAAAGTTGGAGTCCTAGTGGAAATTTTGCAACAACTTTTGCTGTAATTGATTACAAAAATATATTGTCGAACTTCTTTCGCTCGAACACGTAGGGCACGTGCAAATCTGTCGAAGAGATCGGTAGTAATCGGTTGATTTTTTATTCATAAAAAGATCATACATTTCGGGTGCATGGGTGTGAAGGATATCCCGGTTATATACGTTACATGGTATATAATGATACAATTTACTTAGCCGCTTCTTGAGGGAAGCCCAACTACTTATTGTCTGCTTTAGAAAGGTGGTTGCTTAAAACAAGTTATCTGAGAAAAAAAGTGTAAGTTTTAAATATTTTTTCCTTGGCGGTTTAAGCCATGTTACTGCTGAATACAGGTGACCGCTGATTCAGATTTTCCTGAAGAATTTTGTTTGTTTGTTTGTTTCATTTTACGCCTTTTCCCAACAGTATTTTAGTCATATGGGCGGGTAGTTTCCATCGTTCCTGGAGAGTTACACCAGTACTAGACTACCTTCCTCCGTGCTAAACTACCAAAGCATCTCCCGGGGATCGAACCCACGCCAGAGAGGTAACTGGATTAGAAGTCATCGACTCAAACCCCTCGACCACGGAGGCGGTCGTTCCTGAAGATATAACTTAGGCACCTGTTTATCCTATGTAGACTGTACACCAAGCAGTTTCATGTCTTCTCCAGATATATTCATTGATCGTGTTTTAATTTTTGCCACATGGCCTCAATGTTGCATTTGCGGAAACTTATGACATAAAACTTTTGTTGACGAACAGTATACACAGAAACATTTAGTGCATTCATTGGGTTTTATAATGTCAATATGATTTCGCACAAATTTAATTAGGAACTAAAACACGATCAAAACCAACGTTATATAACCAAATTTTTGTGCAAATGATAAGCGTACTATGCTTCATAATGATTTACACACTTATTGACTAATAAAATACGCCTAAACGTGCCGTAATTAAGCACAAGAAACACACTGGCAGTAACAAAAGTTATCATAAGAACTCCAGGACATATTTTGAGTTATCACAAGAATTCCGTAACATTTGAAAAATCGGGATACATTTATTAGCCCGGGCTTTATGTTTGCAACTCTCTACTATAATTAGGTGATTATGTATAGCAACGAAGAAGATCACAAATGAAAAAGTCAATATGTACGAATTAGCAAGTAATTTGGAAATTTTTCTCAAAACTACCAGATTTTTTTAAACGGCGACGAAATATGGACTAAAATATTTTTTTCGGAAACATAATACAATATGTAGGGCAAGCTTAATTATCAAAGTTTAATTTAGCAGCTCAAACTCCCCATTTAAAGTTAAAAATAACCATTCTTTACGCGAGTTCTCTAAGTATATAGAAAAGTTTTCCACAGAAATCCGTAACGTTTTCCAGGAACTCCGTGACAGTTATCATAAGAACTCCAAACAAGTTATCATAAGAACTCCATCCTTCGTGTAACACTTCCTCCCCCGTGCTAACGGGAGGAATTTGATTTTTTTGAAAATTTAGAAATTGATATATTGAAATATAACGAAGTAGGCAAAATAAACGTAACTGGCGAATTTCATAGTCGCACCGATGATTTGCCTATAAGACGAAAACTACCCTTTTTTAACCGAATAAACATACCAGAACGAGTTATCAGACATCACGTGATTGATACGCACGGGCGTCGCCTGCTGGATATGTGTATATCAGCCAGTTTGTCGATAGCAAACGGTAGAGTTTCACACAACCGCGATACAGGTGATTACACTTACTGTTCACATCAAAGGCAAAGTATTGTAGACTACTTGTTTGTTTCCAGATTTTTTTACTTACTATTAAACCGTCAATATTTCGAATCATTATTGAGTTTCGAAATTCTCGATTTCAACTCATTTTCGGACCACGCGGCTTTAGCATTTAAGTTACCTAGAAATAATTTAAACAAAAACAAGATATGTTTGTAAAACATGTATGCCCCCGATCGGCAGCCAATTTGTCATATGATCAGGTTATAATGCCCAGTGAACAAGCAATTAATAAGTGTTATCTCGTATCTACTGGTAATGACTAGTCACAAGGTTATAATTATTGTGACCCCATAGGTTGTGTGCAGCAATTAAAGTTATTAAAAATCTTACCAAATAATATATGCATAAATTTTATGAATCACATAGGCCTCATTAATGACAGCCAAGTTGTTATATAACATAAGACCTTCAAATGTGTATACCAACAGCACATAAAAATATCAACCAAGGCAACTTGAGTTGTTGAGTTTTTGGTCAGAAACGGTCATTAAGTACAAGGTCACTATGACATTGACCCCTTGACCCCAAAATCAATAGGGGTCATCTACTGGTCATGACCAATCATCATACCAAGTGTGAAGTTCCTAGGCCTAAGCGTTCTTTAGTTATTGATCGGAAACAGTTTTTACCTACAAGGTCAATGTGACCTTGACCTTTGACCCCTTGACCCCAAAATCAATAGGGGTCATCTGCTGGTCATAACCAATCATCATACCAAGTTTGAAATTCCTAGGCCTAAGCGTTCTTTAGTTATTGATCAGAAACCGTTTTTACCTACAAGGTCAAAGTGACCTTGACCTTCCCCCTTGACCCCAATATCAATAGAGGTTATCTGCTCGTCATGACCAATCATCTTACCAAGTTTGAAGTCTCTAGGCGTATGGATTCTTTAGTTATTGATAGGAAACCGTTTTTACCTACAAAATCAATGTGACCTTGACCTTTGACTTCTTGACCCCTTAATCAAAAAGGGTCATCTGCTGGTCATGACCAATCATCATACCAAGTTTGAAGTTCCTAGGCCTAAGCGTTTTTTAGTTATTGATCGGAAACCGTTTTTACCTACAAGGTCAATGTGACCTTGACCTTTGACCCCTTGACCCCAAGATCAATTGGGGTCATCTGCTTGTCAGGACTAATCATGATAACCAAGTTTGAAGTACCTAGGCCTAAGCGTTCTTTATTTATTGATCGGAAACTGTTTTCACCTACAAGGTCAATGTGACCTTGACCTTTGACCCCAAAATCAATAGGGGTCATTTGCTGGTCATGACCAATCACCATACCGAGTTTGAAGTACCTACGCCTAAGCGTTCTTTAGTTATTGATCGGAAACTGTTTTAACATACAAGGTCAATGTGACCTTGACCTTTGACCCCTTGACTCCAAAATCAATAGGGGTCATCTGCTATTCATGACTAATCATGATACCAAGTTTGAAGTACCTAGGCCTAAGCGTTCTTTATTTATTGATCGGAAACTGTTTTCACCTACAAGGTCAATGTGACCTTGACCTTTAAACCCTTGACCCCAAAATCAATAGGGGTCATCTACTGGTCATGACCAATCACCATACCAAGTTTGAAGTTCCTAGGCCTAAGGGTTCTTTAGTTATCACTCGGAAACCATTTGGTCTACGGACCGACGGACCGACAAGTGCAAAGCAATATACCCCCTCTTCTTCAAAGTGGGGGCATAATTACCTTCCGTTAGTCAAACAGCTACAAAAAGAATTGTTTTGGATAACAAGAAGTCTTTGTACAAAAAATGATAAAAAAATTACGTTTTTACAATAATCAAACGCTTTAAGTATAGAACCAATAGATGTTGTTGTTGAAAAATTCTCATCGGGACTTTTAAAATCTGCTTCTAAAAACAAACGTAGAAAAAATTAATGCACACTAAAATAATAATAAATGGTTTGACTTCGCAAAAAAAGCAGTTAAATAGCGTCCAAAATAATTTCTTGCCAACAGAGATAATGATGATATCAGACGGAACTCTGTCTTGTGCCCTGTCCTGTTTTTGTTTGGGGTCCGCCTGGGCTCCTTGCCACTGGTTCTTGTTGCTGGGTCGTATGGGGGTGCGTTCATTGAACGCCGCCTTTCCTTGTTGATCTTGTTTATCATATTTTGTGCACGCGCAAACAAAATATCATAAAGTTACAAAATTCGCGAAAAGGAAATTCAAAATAAACAAGGGCAAAATACTAGAAGATCTACTAAAAAAAAAATCCTAGAAATTTCTGGAAAACCCTGAACAAAAAATAAAAATTGTCACAGACAACCGAGAATCTCTTAATTTTAATGACCTACGTGATAATTTTAAAATACTTTTTGGGGAAACCAGCTCAAATGATATAAGCGGTGATGTTTTCGTCAGTCCCAAAATCCCGAAAATTGATATAAATTTTATAGAGACGGGGTAACGGACTCCCATTGCGATGCGTAAATAACAGTTCATACAGCATGTTCAATCTATAATTAGTTTTACTCGCGATTTTTCGTATTTTGTTGGTTTACTACTAGATAGAAGATCTATTTTATGTATTTATAACGTTTAACATACAAGCGCACGAGAATATCATTTTATGCGCGGGATGTATAAAGAGAAACCTTGTGTAGCTGATTCAATTCATATTTAAATGATCAATCCTTTTTCTTGTATCAAAAGTAAATATAATCAATTATGTACTCTTCTGTAAACTATGATCTTTTTGTATGCTAAAAACATTGTAAAATGTTAAATGCTGAATAAACTATTATTGTATATATACTTTTCTCATTCAAGTGGAAAAATGTTTGTTTGTTTGTTTTATTTGTTAGTTGTTTTTAGTTTATGATGTTATCCTTTTGGGTTTGGAATAAATGAATGTGGATTTTATTGAAACAGCTACGTTTATAAATGTTCATGTCAATGATTGTTTTAATATGCTTTTGAAAAATGAAATAAATGAAAATAAAGGTTTTTTCCCGCTGACATTAAAAGTTGATCCACATGATGTACACATATTTCACAATAATTGCTAATCGTCAATACATAGCGCACTGAATATTCTTGAGGACAGGATTTTTAAACAATAAATTGTGCCTCTAAAATGGCCGCAACTGCTCCTCTAAATGGTTCAGTAGTAGACGTACTAGCTTCTCTTCATCTTCAGCCAACACATCACACACGGCATTTAACCGACTCTTGAAAACGCGAAGGCTACCTAAAAACGAATTTAATAAGTGCATGTTATTGTATTTTTCTTTTTCCAAATAATTGAAATATTTCAATTCTTTGGTCTTTAGTACCTGAACCGACAAGCCTATCTGTTCAGAGACCTGTAGAATAATATTGTCGTCAAGGGAAAATGCAGTTTTGCAGTTCTTGTGCATGTAACGTGTACAGGAATACAAAGAGTTTTTGTCAAAAAACAAATTTACTTTTTTCCAGAAAAAATGACCCTTTTTCACTTTTTGTTTCTGCTGCAAAATGCCTTTTAAATGATTTTCTAACACTCTGCGTAGGGCAAATCTTTTTTTACTCACAATTTTGTTCAGTCTACACAGTAGCTTTGGGAAATCAAAGTTGGAAGATTCTCTTGAGCTGACTAAATAAACCCCAGTTCTTTTTCGGGAAAATTTAGATTTTTTAAGGTTGTTAACAATGTCCATTCTTATTTTTCGTAAGCAATCATCCTTGTTGTATTCCTTTGGATGATCACTTTTCTCATTGTTTAGATCTTGATCAATTTTTGTCCGAAGAAAGAATATGTTGCTATCATGTTTAAGGATCTCATTGGCAAGCCATACGTCATTTTCTGAAAATCTTGTGGCAGACACTATCATAAAGGCATCAAACTCCTTTAAATCAACGGCATCTAGATAATCCTCTTTCTTAAATTTTTGTGTCCCTACCCCAGGTAAATCCCAAAGACTGATATTGTTGTTTTTCGGAAGAATGTATTCTTGCTTATTCATTGTGGTTTCTGTAACACCAACTTTTGCAGCACCCTCGTCATCAGGCTTGAGTCCTCTGATTGCATTAATAAAACTCGATTTGCCGGTTCCAGAATTTCCGATGATGGCAATTTTCAATTTTCGTGTCTTCCAGATTTGAATATTTTCGTTTATATACTTCATTAGACCTTGGAGAACTCCAAATTCATCTGTGTACTGTATTAGATTGGCTTTATCCATAAATGTCTGAAACACCTGCATTTTAAAAGTTTGATATGTACTGAATATTTAATAAAACTTTGATACAAAACTAAAAAAATACAACAAGAGTTTAAACATTCAAGACCTTAGTCTCACATGTGAGTACTGTTAGTATGAAACTGCGGAATGAGAAACCCAACACCACTTAACTTGTAACAGCCTGACAAGGATTTTATGTTTTTATGTAATTATATATCATATAACGTATAACATATACCAATCACTCCAGTGAAGTTTCGTCGAATTAACGTCGACAGTTTTAACCTGTGAATGTGATAAGTTATTTTTCTATTTTAAGCCAGATTTTCAATTTCTAGCTTTGGTGGCAACTTTAAGCTGCGCAGAAAAATATTAAGAGGAAATATGGAATATATTTTCTCGAAACATGATAAAATGCCACATATTTTAACGAGCCGGAACGGCGAGTGAAAATATGTGTTATTTTATCTTGTTGAGTGATCGTATATACTATACTTCCCGAAGAACGTAAAAATAACCTTTTTATTTAATTTCATTATCAAATAAATGGTTACGAATCGCATTGCTTGCTACGCAACTGCAATTGTACAGCACGCAGTAATATATTTATCATTTATAGATGACGCCTACTGTTTTGCACGCAATGTTTAGCGCTACATTGTGACGTCACGTAAACAACTCTTTAAACGGCTGTACAGCGTTAATGACTGAATAAAAAATATTGGTGTTCGGATTTGTTTCTTAGTTAGACCATTTTCTATCATTCTAAATAGTTTTAAAAATAAAATTTAACAACAATTTGTTTTTTACTTATCAAATTTTGTAAACAAATTGGCAAAAGAAGTCCCTAAAATAAATATGAGTTTTGACTCCGCCAACTTTCATATTTATATTACATATTTATTTTTTACAAAAATGAAATATATTTGACTGATATAGCACCATATTTCATGGGTAAAATTTAATAAATTTCTTTATTATAATTAATCGTACACAGTACATTCTCACCATTTTTAAATATGTTTTTTATTCTATCACATTTTAATATTGGAGATTTACATGTTCAAAATGGCTGATATCAAAGTAGACAAAAAAACATCGTCTGAGAAATGATCTAAGAATTCAAATGATATAAGTTAATGATAATTAGATGTAAGCAATTCACAAACGCAACATATGATAAGAATAACTAAATATTTAAGGTTAAAAAACCAAACATATACAGTACAATCTAATCTTTTTAAAACATATTGATTAATTTACCTTATTGGTCAAACATATGTGCAATATAGAAAAACATTAAGATAACAAGACATAGTAGAGTCGAAAGGTGAAAAAGGAGTTTTATTGTAAATCACGTTGAGTTTTCGATTTACAATGTTTTGCAAACTGCTTAAATTATGAGTTTTTGGTGGCTATTTTGTGCAGCGAAGTGGAGTGCGAACTATAGCTGGTACTGAAATCCCTGTAAAGTTTTGTCGAAATCCTGCGAGCAATTTGATCTGTTAAGACCGGACAAGTTTTTTTCTATTTTTAGTTTGGCGGCCATTTTTTGTACATCATTTTGACTGTGAAGGCAAGACAAACACTGTCTGTTTAAAGCTCTAGTGGCCATTTTGTGAAGCAATGCAAAACTCTGTGACGGCTGAGAAAAGGACAGCAACAGAAATATCATATTCAGATGCTCGTCAATTGGTTCCTTTTTTTCTGGGGTTTCATATTGTGACAAAAAGGAATGTGTTTTTTGTTTGACTATGATACAAAAGAGAAAAACATCAAACATCGACAATCTGATTAATACTCGGGGGCTATGCTCCCGCGTACAAATCAGATAGCCTCGTGTTTCGATGCTCTTTCTATTACATAATACACATAGACTATTGAATTAAAAACTTACTCTGTTCTCCTCTTCATCGTGGTAACTTTCGTTCCCCTCATCTTCAGTATCATCATCAGTTGCTGTTTGTTGATCATTAGTTTTTTCTAAAGCTATTCTTTTTCCGGTCTCTAACCTAAGACAACATACACATATAATGCATGGCTTAATGAATCTAACTGCAGCACGTTAAAAGAAATCTATTTCAGTTGATAAGATTAAAAACTTAAACAACATTGCTATTTTGAAAGTTAATGAAACTTTATGTTTTAATACAACTTCAGAAAAATTATCTGGACATTGTTACAATGTTACTTTCCTATGTAAGAATTCATAAATACTGACATACTGTCATTTTTACATACGAGCTATTATCTCAAAACCTTTTCTCATTTTAAAAGTGAACCACCAATCAACAAAGCACACAATATAACAAAACATGCTATCAAAGGAAAAAAAAAGTTTAACCTAGGGGAAAAATTTAATTTAGTTATTATCTATTTGATGTGGAAGAATTTTTTCAATTTAATTTGAAAAAAGGTCATGAAAGGCATGGTAATAGTAAATGACAGTTAAGCAATTCAACATACATAAGTTTACATACCATTTATTTCTCAGATGCGACCATTCCCATTAGATTAATTTTGACAACTCTGACAATTCCCCTTTTATTATTCTTACAGCGCAGACAATTTCCCTTACGGAATTTTAGGTAATAATCATAAAAGGAATAAGGAAAAAGTTGTAAGCTTTTTTGAAAACATGTATGCCCGTATCGTAAGCTAATTAGTCATGTCATGTCGTCAGGTCATTGTGATTGAATTTCGACCTAGTGACCGAAAATTCAATAGGGGTTATCTACTACTCATGACTAGTCACTAAGTAGTTGTGACTATAAAGGTTTTGTGCAACAATTTTATGACAAAGTTATCACAAATCTTACAAAATAACATAAGCATAAATTTTATGAATCATGTAGGCTTCCTGAACTTCAGCCTATTTGTCATATTACATTAGACCTTGAAATGTGTATGCAAAAAGTATTTTAGTAATAATATCAACCAATGCAATTTAAGTTGTTGAGTTATTGATTGGAAACCGTCTTTACGTATAAGGTCAATGTGACTTTGACCCTTAAATCAATATGGGTTATCGTCTGACCAAGACTAATGCACCTGTGAAGTTTGAAGGTAAAAGACCCATTTTCTACCGATATAATCAATGTGATCTTGATTTCATTGAAGTCATCTTTTGACAAAACGCAATTCATCTGTGTTTGAAGGTCAAGGGTCCATGGGTTGTCCAGTTATTGATAGGAATACGTTTTGATATACAAGGTCAATGTGACCTTGACCTCTGTCGCGTTGACCCTAAAATTAAAAGTGGTCAACTTCTTGCCAAGACCAATAAGCATACGAAAAATGAGGGTCAAAGGCCTATGGCTTGTCAAGTTATTGATCGGAAACCCTTTTCACCTACAAGGTCTATATGAAATTTACATTTGACCAATGATTGGAATCTGTTTTACCTACAAGTTCAATTAGACCTTGACATCTGATCACTTGATCCCTTAAATCAATAGGGGTTTTCTACAGGCTAATTTAATGCAACAACCCATAGGTTGTAAAGTTACTGATCTGAAACCGTTTTTACCTATAAGTTCAATGTGACGTTGACCCCCTTGACCCTAAAATCAATAGGGGCCATCTATTTATGATGAAAAATCACAATACCAACATCAATGTGACCTTATCCTTTGACGCCTTGACCCCACAAGCAATAAGGGTCATTTACTGGTTATGAACAATCATCATATTAATTTTGAAGTTCCTAGGCGTAAGCGTTCTAAAGTTATAAATCGGAAACTATTTGGTCGAACGTAGGTGTTGTAAACAACTTCAAAACATTATCACCAATTAAACTTAGGTGTTGTTAACAACTTCAAAACATTATCACCAATTTTGCTTTAGTCTAAATATTTGTGTGCCCCCACTTTGTGGGTGCATTTAGATTAACCTTGTCCGTCGGTCAATCTGGGTGCACCTGGGTATTTTATTTTCGTGTTGATTTATTTAGTATATTAGAGTTATTGACCTTAACTTTGTAAAAATTAGCAATTTTCAACTTGTGTCGCACATAGCTCTAAACGTGTTTGACATAGAGTCAACAAACCTTACAGGAATGTTGATCAGCATGTGAAGTTGTGCACCTTGAGTTTCGCCTGTGGAGTTATGCAGTATTTGTAAAGTTATTGCTCTAAAATTAGTAAAACCCGTTTCATTATGTTGTATTATTTGTTCCATAAGAGCTTGAGTTAGACTTTACAGGAATAATGATCAACATCACTGTTAAGCTATGCACCTTGGATATGCATGTGGATTTTTTTTCGGTTTTGATAGAAATATTGCCCTTGACTAAGTATAAATTTGCAATTTCCAACTTGTTTATGCATAGCTCAAAAAATATTTGATCTGTAGGCCTGAAAGTTTAAAGGAATGATGGTCAGCATGTGTTTGTATGCAACTTGGGGTTTGCTTGTGGATTTATTTAGTATTTGTAAAGTTCTTGCCCTTTTCTTGGCAAAAATTTTAGTTTTGAACTTATGGCACATGTAGCCTAAAAATATTTGACTTAGAGTCATAAGATTGACAAAACGTGGAGTGTGGGGGCACCTCTCTAGTTGCTTCCAGAGCCACTTTACATAAGTATGAAATTAAATGATTTCTATAATTTCAAAATTTAAATGTATCCGGTTTAATGAAAATATTTCATAGTACTTTTTTAATTATTGCAAGATCCATTTGTTACTGTCGGACAGTACTGACAAACAGACAGATCGATTAAGGATAACTCTATAATTGCCTAAAATAAAGAACAAAAAATATGATGAATCCCCATAGTTAAGGAAGAAATACTGGTACGGTATAAATGTACTGATTGATCCCGCAAAACATATTTAAGTGGTTTAAATATCATTTCACAATCATATCACAATCATGTTGTATACCTCTCTTCTTGAATTCTTTTCCGAGAAGGAACATCAGACACTTTGTCATCAGAGGTAGACATTATGTTTGCTGCCACGCCTTCTGAACTACTATAATGTAAAATAAAGACTATTGATAAAAGACATGTGCTTAAATACTTATCATTGCACCACTCAGAACGCTCTTTCTGAAATTTATCGCAATATGTTGTCTACCAATCCACAGTTTCTGCAAGAATTGAACAGAAAGAAACTTCTATTCTATCATTCATTGAAAGACAGTTATGACAAAACACACGTTTTCCCTATGTATTTGGGTTCTTACATTTAATATCAATATCTTTAAAATTGACAACAGAGATAATGTAACGACACTTCTTACATGTCCATTGTAAATATTGTTGTTATCACTTAACACAAAACACAAATTCTAGCCACTAGAAAACCTACAATTAACAAAGTAAACAATGTAACACAAATTGAAAACAAAGGAGAAAAATGTTTGCCATAGGAGCATGAATGTATTTATTATTAAGTTGCTGTGAAAGCAATGGCACTATTGACAGATCTTGAAGGGCGTGGTTATAGTAAATGACACTTAATGAATTCAAAATACTCAAAATATAAAAATAGAAATAAGATCAACAAGTAAGGGTGGCGTTCAACGCAACCTCTACACGATGTAGCAATGGGACTACAAATAATGAATCTGTCAGGACCCCAAACAATACAAGACAGGACAGTACACAAGGCAATGCACGGACGGGAAAACAACTAATGTTATACATGTAAGGAAACAACAGAGGCCGACAAAGCAAAGGGGTCCAGGGAAAGTAGAATCGATGGTAGGAAAGGGGGTGGCAAAATTAAAAAAAAGGGGGCAAAAACTTATTGTAGAGGAAAAAGCATCAAGAAGGGGCACAAAAGTGTCGCCATAAAAGTATAAAACGACAAAAAATATTTACATTTTAGGTACACAAAGGGGCACCGCGATGGAAAGGTCAACAACCTTAGCACTGCTGGGTGGTCTAAACCGGTTATTGGTGCACCAAACCTCACTCTAAGCCCCACTATGTTCCTTTCAAACGAGACAAAGTAAATAAAATGAATCCCCGACAAGTGAACAGTTTGTATGGTTACACATGGTTAAACAAATGAAAAACAGAAATGATCATGTACACATATAAAATAAACTCAATGATCAAAACAAAAGTAGGCAATATCTTAAGGAAGACAACGCAACAAGAAAATCTCCTTTATGGGCCCAACGAAGCAATGTAGAAGACGAATATGAAGACAATTCAGACCCAATGGGATTTAAAAACTGTCCATTGTAGTCTCAGACATGGTCCGTCAGATGTAAACAAAAGAGGAAAGTTTACTGACTAGTAGCGTCCAGTTGTCAAAGGTTTAAACACTTAGCATGTGGTGTGTCTTAAAATAGTAGGAGCGTAACCTCTTTTCATCTTTCAACCGAAACACTTTTCAATTTTGAAATAAAATCAAAATAACGATGCAAAATTTGGTGAATATTTCCTTATTTTATGATAGTGGTAGAAACTACTCCGTTCGTTAAATTTAAATCCATTACGTTGCTTTAAGCTCTATCGAATTTACTAAACTGAGATACATTTACCCCGTAAGATGTTGCGTGGTGAACGTCTCCATCTTAATTTTCTATTCTAAAATCAAAGTCTCCTCCTATCATTTGAATAGTATTTTGATGACAGTATTGATTAACTCCTCTCAATAACTTGATGATATTTTTGATTTGGATGATGTCTTATATTTTTCCCAATGAATTACAACTACATAAAACGAATTCTTTAATTTTTGCACATCATTTTCGTATTACTGCTTCTAAAACACCTTGTCGTGTATCTTCAGAGAGACTCAACATAAAGTCTCTTTCATAGCAATATAAAATCAAATTGGCGATAAGGGGTGCTTACTTAGTACCCTTAGAAATAACAATGATCTGTAATATCAATAATGTATAACCGAACCGGACATAACTATTGTCTAAAAGAAAGAAGAGTGCTCTACAAACTTTGTCACAGGTCCACAAAGTATAATGTTTAACAATACAGTTTGTAAAGAAAGTCTTTGAGAATTAAATTTAAGAAAAGTAACTTTTTCCGGTGAATAAATGGAAGAAAAATCGTTTGTACTAACAGTTGAAGCTTGATAGATATTTATAAATTTATCATTAATTTCAACTGACCAAAAGAGATGTTTGTTTGTGGTTTATGACTTTATAACAATATGGCATTGCAGGTGTTCTTTATAATTATATATGCACTAGTAACGCCAGAACATCAGGTGGTACAAGCATTGCTATCGCAAATTGCGTTCCACAAAAGAATTAAAACGTAACACAAGATTACAAGCTATAGCTGTGCAGGTGACCTTACATCGAACACTAACAATTTGTTCTTTATACCTTCCTCCAAATATAGCGGTAACAAGTGATGAACTTGAAAGTATTGTTCGACAATTACCATCACCTTTCCTTTTGCTAGGCGACTTTAATGCTCACAATCCTATGTGGGGCAGTATATCTACAAATAATATGGGTAACAAAACTGAAAAATTGATAGATAACTTTCAGCTTTGTTTATTAAACAATCGGTCACCTACATATTTACATTCAGCTACAGGTACGTTTTCTTGCATCGACCTCTCGATTGTCCACTCTGCTATATACTTGGACTTCGATTGGAAAGTTTTAGATGACCAGTACGGCAGTGATCATTATCATTGTTACTAACATCAAATGACTCTATACCAGATGAAGGACGTCAAATTTTAAAATTTAAGAAAGCAGATTGGGAAATATTTACTAGGCTTTGTTCTATTGATCTAACAAAAAATGAATTTGATTTCACCTCTGATGATATAGCTGACACTTTCTCTTTAGCATTACATACGATTTCCTGCAAAGTTATTCCATTAAAAAAAATAAAAGTAACTAAATAAAAAAAAACATGGTTTAACGATGAATGTAAAAAAGCCGTTCGTACACGTAAAACTTCACTCAAAAAGTTTGAACATAGCCCTACAACAGAAAACCTTGAAAATTTTACAATATTTAGAGCCAAAGCTAGAAGATCAGTGCGTCAATCTAAACGCCAATCATGACAATCTTATGTTTCAAATATTAATTCAAATACTCCTATTAGGAAAGTCTTGGATGCAGTACGAAAAGTAAGTGGTAAGTATAAAAAGAGTCCAACTGTTCACTTAAAAACTGGTGATGGCCAATATGCCAAAACAAAAACGGATATTGCAGAAACTTTGGCTGAAACGTTTGAAAAGAACTTTTCTTCAAGCAATTATTCAAATACCTTTCAACAACATAAATGTAAAGCTGAGAAAGAGCATATTAATTTTACTTCAACAAACGACGCAGACTATAATTCCCTTTTCTCTATTGATGACCTAATTTATTCAATCAAAACTGCAAAAGATAGTGCTGCAGGCCCGGACGAAATTTACTACCAGTTTCTTAAACATTTACCATCCCAATCCTTAGACTTGTAATGTTGAAATTTTTAACAAAATTTGGGTATCTGGTGAATTTCTCAACACTTGGAAAAATGCGTTGGTTATTCCTATCCCTAACCCTGGAAAAGATTCAACTGACCCTTCAAATTATCATCCAATTTCACTAACAAGTTGCCTCTGCAAAACATTCGAGAGAATGATAAATAATCGGTTAGTTTGGTATCTAGAAAATAATGGAATTATCACTAATTTTCAGTAAGGTTTTCGTAAACAGCGAAGTACAAACGATCATCTTGTCGACCTGAGACTTTTATTAGAGAAGCCTTTGTGAATAAAAAACACCTGGTATCAATTTTCTTTGATCTTGAGAAGGCTTACGATACTACTTGGAAATATGGTATCCTAACAGATCTAAAGGATGCTGGACTTAATGGCAGACTTCCTCTTTTCGTTTCTGGATTTTTAAACGATAGGCACTTTAAAGTAAGACTTGGTTCAACTTTTTCTCAGGACCACCAACAAGAACAAGGTGTTCCTCAAGGAAGGATACTTTCTGTTACACTTTTTGGCCTTAAAATAAACAATATTGCTAGCGCTCTTACACCAGGCATAGATTGTTCTCTATATGTAGACGATTTTCTTATTTGCTATCGATCGAAAAGTATGAGAACAATTGAACGGCAACTTCAACAAAATTTAGATAAAATTCAAAAGTGGGCAATAGAAAATGGTTTAAAATTTTCAAAGACAAAAACTCAATGTGTTCATTTCTGTCGATTGCGGAAACAACATAATGACCCTGAACTTCACATATCTGGTTCTAAAATTCCAGTAGTTGATGAAGCTAAGTTTTTAGGAATTATATTTGATAAAAAAAATTCTTTTATACCACATATTAAACATTTGAAAACTAAATGCCTAAAAGCTTTAAATTTACTTAAGGTTTTATCAAGTACAAATTGGGGATCAAATTCTTCCACATTACTGAAATTTTACAGAAGTCTTATCCGATCAAAATTAGATTATGGTTCTGTAGTATATGGGTCTGCAAGAAAATCAAATCTTCAAATGCTAGATACCATACATCACCAGGGTTTACGTTTAGCTTTAGGTGCTTTTCGCCTTCACCTGTAGAAAGTCTATTTACGGAAGCTAGGGAACCATCGCTTCATCTTCGTCGAAAAAAGCTATCACTTCAATATGCAACTAAAATTTCATCTAATAGCAAAAATCCGGCTAAAATATTATTTTCAAACCAAGTTATACTGAAAAATTTGTTTATCAACCAAAGGAAATTAAACCATTAGGCCTTCGTTTAAAAGATGATTTAGATAAACTTAGAATTAATCCAGACAGTATCGTTCAAAATGACGATGAGGATGTTCCACTTTGGACTTATAATTCCCCGAAAATAAATATTAACCTTTCAAATGTAAAAAGTCATCAAATTCACCTGAATATTTCAAAGAGAAGTTTCTAGCAATTAAGGAAGAACATGAAGATTTTATACATGTTTATACAGACGGTTCAAAAGAAGGTTGCAAAGTAGGTGCGGCTGTGTTTGAAAATAATTTTACATCTAGTATGAGGTTACCAGATA